GTGTGTGTGTGTGTGTGTGTGTGTGTGTGTGTGTGTGTGTGTGTGTGTGTGCATGTGTGTATACGCTTGTTAGATATGAAGAAAGACACAGACAGACGTATGGGAAAAGGGAAAAAGAGGATGGAGATGAAGGAGGAGGAGGTGGAGGAGGAGGAGAAGGAGGAGGAAGAAGAAGAAAAGCAGGAGAATGAACTGCGGAGTAGTTTGACAGAAAGAAGAGTGATAAGCTGATCGGATTAACCTCATCTCTAAGTGTTTTTGATTCATCCCTTTAATTTCTCAGCTGTTAGGATCTGGATAGACTGTAATAGTTTCACACCTCCGTCGACGCAATGATATATCATTTCGGAGGTGTTTCCATGGTCAACCTGAACTGACCAGGATTAAACATTCCAATGTACAGAGTAAAGAGTAAAGAAGTAGGACAAACCAGTGGCGCCCTTCAACCTCTGGACGAGGGAATCAAACTTACGTTTTCTACACGCAATGGACAAAAACTCAACCGCAATACCACAGACACTATTCTAAACTTAAAAGGGAAATTTAACATCATTCTCCTATGCAGCTCATAAGTATCTATCTCCCATGACGGACGCGGTTTCACAGAAAAATGTTATGTATCATTTTTATTACTTGTGAAAATATTTTGTCTTTTTTTTCTTGCTGCATAATGTCGTGTTTCTAAGCTTTCGTTTATATATTATTTCAATGATGATGATGATGATGACGATGACGTCTACGGTGATGATGATGACTCACCCTCCATCCACGGCCTCTAAGCAAATCGTCCGGTTCTTGGGTAAGTTGGGCCCTGCCAGCAGACTCACGCTGGCACTGTAAACGTCTACGTTGCCATAGACCAGAGAGTGGACGCCCATGACAGAGGAAGAGCTGGAGTCCGTATACGTCACAGACACCGTGGGTGGTCTGTTTGGGGAGAGGGTGGGAGAGAGGAGGAGGAGGAGGGGGAGAAGGGGGGAGGAGAAGGGGAAACTAGAGGGGGGGGACGGAGACTTTTAGGTTTGGCAAGAGTTTTACGGCACTTGTAACATAAATATGTGATATAAACGCCGATTGAGGTGTATTAGAGAACAACACATAAAGAGGAGAGATAAGGACGATGGATGTTTAATGACAAAGGAGGAACAAACCACACAGAATATCCGTTAACCGTCCTCATGGGAGTGAGGTGTGGGGGAGAAACAGGGGAGAGAAAGAGAGAGAGAGAGAGAGAGAGAGAGAGAGAGAGAGAGAGAGAGGGGGGGGAAGAAATAA